GCCATCAGGTGCTAATGATCCATTGTTAGGCTGATGGTCCTTCTTGAGCATGTGATCAGTTGGTTCTGGTTGTCAGCAGCAAAACTGGTTGATCCACTCTGAGAAGGTGCTATTTAAGAGACTGAGCTGAATACAGCACCTCAGACTGAGGAAGTCCTCAGGATGAGAGACGAAACGTTTCTACATTTTTTTTTGCTTTGTTTTTTGAATGTCCAGAGGACCAGAATGAACTTTTTTAGAACCTTAGGTACTGTCAGTCCCTAAACCAGGGCTGTTCAACAAGACTGCTCAGGGGGCCACAGTTTCTGACAGCCAACAGCTGGGGGGCCGGACATCCAGTCATTACATAATTATTTAAACAAAAGTTTACATTGATCTGTTACCTTTTAAATTTGGTTTATTGCATTGAATCATAAATGTAATAAACACAACCCAAAAGCCAGAACACCCCCTCCCCCCAAAAAAATTATAATTTTTTTTTATATATATATAATGAAGTGGGCCGGTTTGGTCACCCACGTGCCGGAAATGGGCCGCCAGTTGACGAGCCCTGCCCTAAGCTCTTCAGAGGAGCCCAATGATGTTATAAATATGAGAGCCAGCAATAAACCTGGCTGTGGAGCACGGCTTATGAAATCGAACATTTTCAGCCTTGCTCATAAATCGAATAACATCGATAGTCCAGGATATTGAGTTACCAAGCATTTTAATGCTTACAGATAAATGTATACCTTTCTAGAGGCATGGATATTCCTGTAGAGCTTCCAGTCTCCTCAGTTTCTGTGAGAACAGGTGCTCACCTGCTGAAGCTTGCACCCCCTTCAGAGTGGTCTCAGGGCAGGGGTATTGGAGGTCTCCTCCTTGTACTTTGCTCAGTTTGTAAGACTTCCTGTTTGCCTGTGTATCATTCCTGTCCTCTCAAACCAGATGACTGCCCATCCTGAGCCCGGTTCTGTTGGGGGTTTTCCTTCCAACTGTCACCAATGTTCTGCTCAGGACTGTGACAAAGCAAAGATTCAACTCAATCTGCTGGCTTCCTTAGACAGAGAACTTGTACTAACTGACATTTTATAAAGTATGTGAATGTTTTTGAATATTTTTTAAGAATTTTTTTCTTATGTCAGTCCATTTCAAGATGGCCCTTAAAGCTCAGTCTTAGCAAACACAAATTCAAAAAGCGTTCAATACAAAAACAACTGGACTTTATTTGTAACAGAAGACGTTTCGCTCCTCATCCGAGAAGCTTTCTCAATTCCAAGAGCAGAGCGTGTGGGGTTCAGGTTATAAAGCAGAGATAAGATACACATGCAGATTGACCTATCACACCTCACAGTAGGGGTTTGTTAAGGTCTTTGTACGAGGCCCCTCTGATGGGTGTGAAACTGGCTGGTACATGTGTAGGTACAGAGTCTTGCAAAGAGCTTTGAGTACCCTGACTAGATGGAAAGGAGCTGTATAGGTACAGTCCAGTTAGTGACCTGTAGTTCTGAGCGCTTCGGACTGAAACATGAACAGTTCGCTCCACCTTAAATCTGAGCACACTTCCTGAAAACGCCCCGCGTGTGTGTGTGCGTGCGCGTGTGTGTTGTAATAATAAGGCGGCGTCGTCTATCCAGAGAGAAGGGGCTGGACCTGGACCTGGACCCACTCTGGTCCTCCACAGTTCTGATCCTCCGCTGGACTTCGGGAGTCTGGACCCGCATCACCACCAAGGTCAGGCCGACTCTAGCGGACCCGGGGAGCCGCAGAGCCCGGCAGCCGTCCAGCAGGTCCCCGGCGGCAGGGAGGCAAGTTGGACCGAACTGAGCGGCACCATGTATAACAACCCGGGAACCTACGCCAACAAGAAGAGGAAGAAGCCCGTCCTCAAGCAGTGAGTCCGGCTACATTCGTGCTGTTCGCAGCGCTTTCTGGATCTTTCTCAACTCCGAGCAAAGTTGTGAAATCGTGTTGAAAATGGAGGCAGCGTGGCTTAAGGTGGACCGCGGCGCTTTTCTGTCGTCGCCATGTTAACTGCTTGACTCCAGCAGAAAGGTTGGAAATATCGGATTATGGATACAACAGTCGGATTATTGTTAATCTAATCATCTCAGTAAACTTGGGCCGCCTCCTGAAAGCGGCTCAGACTTCGGACCACCTTAAGAAACGGTGGATCTGGCACGGACTGCTTGTCCTCGCGCAGAGTCGCTGCTGCTCTCACGCGATGCTTCGAGGAAGGCGGGGGTCGTGGGCGGGGCAGCGCGGCCTCGCTGAAATACGAGTCGGGACTTCAGCGCATGCGCAGTGTCTGCTCTTTTTTTAGGGGGGGGACTAACATCGTCAGACATAAAGATAAGATATAACTTTATTGATCCCGCAGAAAATTGTTGTGCCAGAGTTAATAATTTAAATAATGTTAAAAAATGATTTGATATGAATGTTTCTGTTCAGTGTCCTGGCCTGAGATAACTTCTGTTGTGACTTGGAGCTATATAAATAAACTGAATCGAATTGAAGTGAGTTTCAGTTCAAAGGAACAGACACAAGGATTCACACAAGAGATAAAAAAGTCCCCTCAGTAAGTTCTGAACAGGTCGGGTGCAGACGGAAACATTAAGGACTTCCTGTGTTGTTCTGTGGAGCACCTGGTGGTCTCAGTGTGAGTGAAGGTGCTGCAGGAAGAGTCCAGGGTGTCATGCAGGGGGGGACGTGTTGTTCAGGATCTGGAGCAGGTTCCTCAGACTCCTCTGCTCAGACTCCTCTGTCAGAGCCTGCAGGTCCACTCCCAGAACTGAACCAGATCTCTTGTTGAGCTTATCGAGTCTGTTGGCATCAGCCTTCTTCACCCTGCTGCCCCAGCACACCACAGAGTAGAAGAAGACGCTGGAGACCACTGAGTGGTAGAACATCTGCAGCATGGTCCTGCAGATGTTTAAAGGACCTGAGTCTCCTCAGAAAAAAAAAGGCGACTCTGCCTTTTCTTGTAGAGGGAGTTGGTGTCAGCTGTCCAATCCAGTTTATAGGTCGACCCCCAGGTATTTGTAGCAGTCCACAGTGTCCACCTTAGAACCCTTGATGTTGATAGGGCTGGGGGGCTGATCTTCTTCCTGTAGTCCACCTGCAGATCTTTAGTTTTTCCAGCATTGAGCTGCAGGTGGTTCTGTCCACCACACCTCTGTATTCAGCTTCCTGGTCACCAGTGGTGCAATGGCAGAGTCATCCAGAACTTCTGCAGATGCAGGATTGAGTTGGACCTGAAGTCTGAGGTGTAGAGGAACAGAAACGGTGAGAGGACCGTGCCCTGAGGAGCCCCTGTGCTGCTCAGATGGTGTCCCAGGTGTACTGCAGCCTCACACACTGTGGTCGACCTGTGAGGTCGTCTCTGATCCAGGTGACCAGCGAGTCCTTCACCTGCATGTCCAGGAGCTGCTGCAGAGCAGAGCAGGTCTGATGGTGTTCAAAGCACTGGAGACGTTAAAGAACATGACTCTGACAGGCTGCCTGCCCTGTCCAGGTGTGTGTCTGTGGAGCAGGTAGATGATGTCATCAACTCCAGTGTGTGGCTGGTCTGAAAACTGGAGGAGGTCCAGGTATGGTTCCACCACTGATCTGATGTTCTTCAGGACCAGCCTCTCCAGTGACTTCATGGCATGTGATGTCACGGCCACAGGTCTGTAGTCACTGAGAGTTTGGGTGGTTGTTGGTCAGCCCCGGGACCAGACATGATGTTTTCCACAGAGCAGGGACCTCAGGCTCAGGTGGAAAATGTGCTGAAGCTCTGAAGTTCACTGGGACTGATGTTTTCAAACTGTGTTCATGACCAGGTCTTGTGTTGTCTGTCTTTATTTAAAATGTTAACCTTTACCACCTGCAAACAACTAACAACACGTCAAAAGAGCCCCATGAATTTTATTAGTGTCTACTTTTAGCTGTTAGTAGTTCTGTTAACAAAATATCTACTGGATAAATGTCATATACTGATGTGCATTTGGAGTGGACCCAGTTGAAGATGGCCGCTACATGGAATGAAGTTTATTCAACACATGCATGGCTGGAGCTGTGCATGTTGCAGATGTTGTGGTTGAAGCGGAGAGTCCTGTTTAAAAGTGAACTTTGAACTGTCTGAAGTGAAAGTGACAGTCGGTAACACGTGACGGCACAAGGATAAGCTCGGTGTTACACTGAATATTTCCGTGTGACGATGAAGCAGCAGCTCCACAGAGACGATCACGGCTTCACAAGCGTTCCTCGGTTGATTTACCTGCGGGTGGGCTCTCGGGATGAATCTACTTGTCCCTCGTCTCCTGCAGCTTTGATCACAGGTCGGTTTGAACGGCTCATTTCTCTTAAAGCTGAAATAAGGCAGACTTGATCTGAGGCTGTCCGTTTTCAATGACTTCTTCTTGAGGAGAGAAGAGAAGCTCCGCTCTCCAGCCTGATCCAGTCCGTCCATGTCGCAGCTCCTTGTGTTGCACCGGCTGCACCACAAACATGAACAGGTTTCATGGTGCAGCTGTCGGCTCGTGCACGTTCAGGGTTCAATCTGTTTAAAACCCAATCTGTGTAATTATTAGATGAAGAGTCTTACTGAGGTCTGTCCATAAAAATAAGAGTTTGTGTACAGAGCACCATGTGTCACATGGTCAGTACAGATCAGTATCTCCACAGACTGTGTTCACCATCCATTTTATCTCCCATGATCCTTCATGTTGTGCAGACCAGCGTGGCCTTGATGCCCACACCTGCTTTACATGAAGGCAGAAGAGGCGTGTGAATATTATCACCACATTATTAAACAGTGTTATTACACGAGGGGCTGGACAACTTTGATCACAATATAGTTCTTAATTTCCATCGATAACGATATAATTCGATATTGATGTGAACAATATAAAAGCCTCAGAAAAACTGTACAAATAAATTAATGTTCACCTTTTATTTGTGTTTAATCTTAAAAAAATGGAAATCACCGTCAAATTAACATAAAACTCTGTTTTGTCAATATTAATAGTTTAAAGAAGAACATAACCTGTTGTTGTTTGAGGGACACGTTGGCTCAAACTTTTTATTGTGCTTCATCTTCTGACTCTCAGCACATTCTGTCCTCGAGTGGAAACTCAAGTCGGAGGTTCTCACCGCTAGTTGGAACGACTCCGTCACATTCTGCAGCTCACTGACTGAAACCTGCAGTTTCTCGATCTTAGCTAGCCGAACCACTTCCACACCGACACATGGGTCTTTCCTCTCCTCACTGACGTCCTCTGATTTCTCTTGGCTTGTGAAACCTTGTTCAGTCACGTTGTGACGGTCACGGGAACTCATTTTGAAGAGAAAACTGAACGGTTGTTGGAAATGAGCCTAGCCTGCTACCGCTAACACCTTCTTCTGTTTTTAATGATGTTTTTATCAACATTATAAACGTGTGTCTGCGTGTGTATATCAACAGGTACAAAGGTAATAGTACTCGAGTATAAAAAAGAACAAGATCATTATAAACCTCAGCACAAATAAACCTCAGCAGAAGTAAGGAGGACCTTCAGGAGGATTAATCCGCACAAAGCAACTGGCCCAGACAACATCCCTGGAAAAGTGTTGAAGGAATGTGCTGATCAGCTCTGTGAGGTGCTGGCAGACATCTTTAACACCTCACTTACCCTGGAGACAGTTCCCACCTGCCTGAAGACTGCCACCATCATCCCAGTACCAAAAAGCTCTACAGTGACTGGTCTGAATGACTATCGGCCAGTGGCCCTCACCCTGATAGTCGCTAAATGCTTCGAACAACTGGTCATGACTCACATCAAAACAACCATCAACATCAACGAGGACCCTCATCAGTATGCATACCGTGAGAACCGATCAACAGAGGATGCAATCTCCTCTGTGGTCCACACTGCACTCAACCACCTGGAGCAGAAAAACTCTTAAGTCCGTATGCTCTTTGTGGACTTCACATCCACCTTCAACACCATGATCCCCCAAACCCTGATGGACAAACTATCCACACTAGGACTAAGCCCCTCCATCTGCAACTGGGTACTAGACTTTTTAACAAACAGACCACAGTTAGTGAGGATCCACAACTTCTCCTCCTCCACCATAACCCTCAGCACTGGCTCTCCTCAGGGATGTGTGTTGAGCCCCCTCCTGTTTACTCTGCTCACATATGATTGTGCAGCTACCCATCCAGGCTGTCACATTGTAAAGTTTGCAGATGATACAGCGGTGGTGGGATGCATCACAAACAATGATGAGTCCAGCTACAGGCAGGAGGTGGAACACCTGGAGAGCTGGTGCAAAGAGAATAACCTTCACATCAATGTGAAGAAGACAAAGGAGATGATTGTGGACTTCAGAAGGAACAAAAACATCTACACCCCCCTGAACATAAGAGGATCTGCGGTGGAAGTGGTCTCCAGCTACAAGTACTTGGGTGTACACATGAACAACAACCTCAGCTGGAGCAACAACACCACCAGCCTGATCAAGAAAGCTCATCAGAGACTCTACTTCCTCAGACGGCTGAGACGAGCTGGTCTGGAAGCTCAGTCCTCACCTCCTTCTACAGGTGTGCAGTGGAGAGCATCCTGTGCTCCAGCATCAACGTGTGGCATGGAGGCTGCACAGCTGCAGAAAGAAAAGCTTTGCAGAGAGTGGTGAAGGCTGCACAGAAGATGTTGGAGTCAGTCTCCCCACCATCACAGACATCTACACCTCCAGATGCAGGAAGAGGGCCACCTGCATCATGAAGGACCACACTCACCCAGCACACACACTTTTTGCCCCACTCCCCTCAGGAAGGAGGTTGAGGAGCATTAAGTGTAGAACCACTAGACTGAGGAACAGCTTCTACCCTGAGGCTGTTAGACTCATGAATCTCTAACTAGAATAATC